GCTTCTATTATATTCAACAATTAATATTGTTCATCAGATTTTTTTTAATTCCCTAGGTTTTTAGATTCACTTGTTGATAGTTACGTATTTGTTGTTCATAATTTTTATCTTTTATTTACTTTCTCTTCTGAAAGAACCCCCTTCAGCAATTCATATAATTCTGGTTTGGTGTTGATGAACTCCTTTAGCCTTTTTTATTAGTGAAGCTCTTTATCTGACCTTTGATTCTGAGTGATAGCTTTGCTGGATAGATTATCTTTGGCTGTAGGTTCTTACTATTCATCACCTTGAATATTTCTTGCCATTCCCATCTGGCCTGCATGGTTTCTGTTGAGAAATCAGCTGACAATCTTATAGGTGCTCCTTTATAGGTAACTACCTTCTTTGCTCTTGCTTCTTTTAATATTCTCTCTTTGTCTTTTGCTCTTGGAATTTTAATTATGTTTTGTCTTGGTGTGGTCCTCTTTGGATTCCTTTTGTTTGGAGTTCTGTGCGCTTCCTGGACTTGTAAGTCTAATTCTTTCACCAGATGGGGGAAGTTCTCTGTCACTATTTCTTTCAGTATGTTTTCGATATCTTGCTCTTTCTCATCTTCTGGGACCCCCATAATTCTGATGTTGGTTTGCTTGAACCATTATCTTCAATTTTTTGGATTCTTTTGCCTTCTAGCTTCTGCGGAAGGGTGTCTTCTGGCTCTTTATGTTCCAACTCTTTGACTTGATTCTTGCGATCTTCCATTCTGTTTTTAGGACTCTGTATAATATTTTTATTTCAGTCAATGTATTCTTTATTTCTTGTTGATTCCTTATTTCTTATTGATCCCTTATCATTTCTTGTTGATTCCTTATTAATTCTAGTTGATCCCTTTTCATATCCTCATAGGTCTTATCCATCTTTTCTAGGAAATTCTTGAAAAACCTTATAAGCGTAGATTTGAACTCTATATCAAGTGGCTTTTTGTCCTCCATCTCTTTCATTTTTTATCTATTTCGTCTTGGCATTTTCGCAGCTTTCCTGAGTTGGTAGCCTTAAAAGTCTCTGTGTTCTGCTTGGATGGGGCAGGGTCTCTGTGTTCTGCTTGGATGGAGCCTGCAGCTTTGGCTTCCGTCAGCCCCGCCCTATGCGGGTCCTTCAGTACTTAGTTGTAAGCGCCTCTGAGAGAAAGGTGCCCTCGATTTTCGCCTGCTGCCAAACAGTCTGTGCTCTCCCCCAATGAGCCCGGTATTGGGGTTCAGTTCAGTTGGAAGTAGAGTTGGAGGTGGCGTTCAGAGCACTCGGGAGCCCCAGTCTCCTTCCTGCCAGGGCAATCCTGCGGCACAGCCAACCGTCCCTTCTCTGCGCTCAATGTGCGCGCCTCTGGGACCTCCTTTCGCCACTTCCCCGGGGTTCCGCCTTGCAGCCCAGCTTTCTCTGTGTGAGCCTGGGTCCCTGGGGTCTGGCCTAGAACTGGGGTTCAGAGCAGTCAGAACTGGGGCCCAGCACAGTCGGAGTTTTATCTCCTTCCCGCTTGGGAATGCCAGCCAGACACTCAGCCTCCCTCTTCTCCGGCTCCGTCCTCTCCAAGCGCGCCGCGGGTCTCCGTACCTTAGGCTTCTACAGCTCCTCCGTGCTTCCTTCTGGTTTTCTCCTTGCTTCTCGTTGTAGAATTTCCAGTCAGTCGACTTTCCTATAGTTCTGGGTAATGTCCATTTTATATTTTAGTTGTATTTCATTGAAATTGTTGTGTGCGGCTGCGGCTAGGTGTTTACCTGTCAGCCATCTTGGAACAACTCCTTCATCATTGATGTTTCTATCTCTCCCTTTCCCTTCCTCTCTGAAATCAATTTTAAAAATATTTTTAAAAATAAGTAAAATCTGAATGGTTTTAGATTTTAGATATGGTGGTAATAGTCATTAGGATTTGCTGACAGGTTGAGTATCCTACATAATAAAAGGCTAATAGGCAAATTGTCCCCTCCACTGAGAATTCAACTGTGAGTTCGACCAGGGGGTGGAGCCGGCCAGCCCTGCCCCCAATCGGCTCTTCCACCCCAATCGAGTGGGGCCAGCCCACCAACCACCTATGACCACTTCCCCTAGCCACCTGTAGCCCCTCCCCCTGTCTGGCCTGGCCCAATTGGCCCCGATCGGGGCAGGCCAGCTGGAACCCACCCATGCATGAATTCGTGCACTGGGCCTCTAGTAACATATAAGAAAGAGAGGAGTAAAATTTCTCTAAGTTTGTTGTCCTAAACAACTGATGGAATAGTATTAATCATTACTGGGATGTAGAAGACTGAGAAAAGGTCAGGTTTGGTGGTAGGAGATATATATCAGGAGCTCAGCTTTGGGCTTAAGCTTGTGAGACCTGTTAGACATCTACATGAAGATATGAAGTAGGTGGTCAGATATGTGTGAATTGAGTGGAAGATAGAGAAAGGACTCGAGGTGTATACTTGAAAACTATGAGATTTCATGAGGTCACCAAGGCAATCCTATATAATAAAAGCCTAATTAATATGCCCAAGTGTCCAACCGTTTGTCTGTGCGACTAGTCGCTATGATGCACACTGACCACCAGGGGGCAGATGCTCCGACTGGTAGATTAGCTTGCTGCTGGGGTCTGGCTGATCAGGACTGGGTGAGCCAGACCTGAAATGCCCTGGAGCCCTCCTGCGGTTCCTCCCTTCCCCGATCATGCACCCCTGGAGTCCCTCGGCCTGGCCTGTGCCCTCTTGCAATCCTAGATCCCTTGGGGGATGTCGGAAAGCTGTTTTCAGCCTGATTCCCACAGGCCAGCCTGAGGGACCCCACTGGTGCACTAATCTGTGCACCAGGTCTCTAGTAAATATAGATAAAGACAAGGAAGAATTATCAGTGACTAAAAATTAATGTCTTGTGAAGAAGGTGGAGAATCAGGAACATGTGGTGTCTAGAAGCCAATGAAAAAATGGTTTCAATGACTATGGGGAAGCACTCGAGTTCATAGCAGGAAAATGTTATAGAATTAACAATAATGATTATCTCTTCACTCTTTTTCACAAAAATCTTCCCCAAAGGACTGAAGATTATAAGCAGATATATACTAGGTAGAACATAACAGGACATGACATCATCTTTTTTTTTTTTTTTTTTTTTTTTTTTGCCTTTAATATATCTTCATTGATTTTTAGAGAAAGAGGAAGGGGGAGGGGGAGAGAGAATCATCAGTGAGACAGAGAAGCATCAATCAGTTGCCTTCTGCACCCTGACTGGGAATCAAACCTGCAACCTGGGTATGTGTCCTGACTGGGAATCAAAACAGCAACCTCTTGGTGCATGGGTCAGTGCTTAATCACTGAGCAACACTGGCTAGAGATACATCATCTCTTGACTGGCTCAAAATCATAATGGATTGATAAAGCATGCTTGATAAGAAAGCTTTCCCCAAAGCTAATTTAAAAAAAAAACTCTCCTCCCTTTTCTCCCCTACTCTCTCTCTTCCCCTTGTCTCCTCCCCCCTCTTTTCCTTCTCCCTCCCTCACCTTAGTATTCCTTTCCTGAGGTTTTTCTTCCTGTAAATCTCTGTGATAAGATTGTTCAAAGTAGAGGAATTTAGGATCTATCTTCACAGCAGCCCTCCTCTCAGTAGCACTCAGTGCCTTTTTCTTCCTCCGCTTCTTCCAAGGGCTCTTTTTTGCTTCTACAACTTGTTTTCTGAGCCTACACAGCTGGCTCATTTCTGCTACCTCTGTAACTTTCTAAATAAACTTTCTCTAAGGAAAAAAAAAGATCTATCATCAATTGGAATGGGGATCATGAATGAACCTTTCAAAGCTTATAAGTAATATATTTTCTTTCTCTAAGCTAAAACAATAGCTATAGCACACACTAAATAAAGATAATATCAATAGCCTGGCTGGTGTGGCTCAGTGGTTGAGCATCAACCTATGAACCAGGAGGTCAGGGTTCGATTCCCAGTCATGGCACATGCAATCCCTCACTAGGGTTGTGGGCTTAATCCCCAGTGAGGGGTGGGCAGGAGGCAGCCAATTCATGATTTTCTCTCATCATGGATGTTTCTCTCTCTCTCCCCCTTTCCCTTCCTCTCTGAAATAAAAATATATTTTAAAAAAAGATAATATCAGTAGCTTTGTATTTATCTTAAATTTAACATAATGGGTCCTCTACCTTAATTTTCACTTACTATCTCCTGCTTATTATAAACTTTTTGCATCTCCCTCTCATAATTTCAGCAGAAGGATTGTAAGTTTGTTTTGCATTGTTGCAGATAGCCTTCATACCCAAGAGGGTTTTCTTTTTGTGCTTATTCATTTAAAATATTAAATGCCGCCGGGACTGGTTTGGCTCAATGGATAAAGCGTCGGCTTGGGGACTGAAGGGTTCCGGACATGTACCTTGGTTGCGGGTATATCCCCAGAAGGGGGTGTGCAAGAGGCAGCTGATCGATGACTCTCTCTCATCGATGTTTCTAACTCTCTGTCTCTCTCCCTTCCTCTCTGTATAAAAATCAATAAAATATATTTAAAAATATATTAAATGCCATTCTGATTTTATTTGAAAATAATAATAACAAAGAATATCTTATGAAAATTCAAGAGTCATAGAACTCCAGGATTCAGAACTACTTTAAAGAATAGCATTACATTTTATTTATTTCTTTTTAAAATATATCTTATTGATTTTTTACAGAGAGGAAGAGAGAGGGATAGAGAGTTAGAAACATCGATGAGAGAGAATCATCGATCAGCTGTCTCTTGCACACCCCCTACTGGGGATGTGCCCGCAACCAAGATACATGCCCTTGATTGGAATCGAACCTGGGACCCTTCAGTCCGCAGGCTCTATCCACTGAGCCAAACTGGTTTTGGCAATAGTACTACATTTTAAAACATCACATTCTGCCAGCAGGCAAGTGTAATGTTGGAGAAGGAACCAGTCTGTGTGTTGTGTACTGTTTTGTTCTGTTCTGCCCTCTCATTCTGAATTTTTATGTATTTGACAGGTGTGAAAAGGACAGCATGAACTTTACCCCCACATGTACCCCTGTCTGCAGAAAGTAAGGCACTTGCTTATTTTTTGAGTAGTTAAAGAATCAAGACTGTCCCGACATTGTGGCTCAATGGTCAATATAGGAACCAGGAGATCATGGCCCACTTCCCGATGAGGGCAAATTCCTGGGTTGTAGGTTTGATCCCAGTGTGGGATGTGCAAGAGGCAGCCAATCAATGATTCTCTCTCTCATTCCATATCTCTCTCCCTCTCTGTTTCTCTTTAAAATCAGTAAATATATATTATAGTGCATATGAAATGATAATACCAGAATCCAGACAGTTTGAGTGGTCCTTGTAGGTGCCAGTGCCTCCTGGATTATAGAAGAAACAGCCAGCATATACAGGGGACTTGGAATTCTGATTCTGCCGTCACCTTGTGCATGACACATTTCCTCATCCTCACTGCCAGAGTCTCATCTGCAAAACCTCAGAAATGCCTTCGTTCATCTGTTAAGCTATTCCCCAGAGTAGTTATAAGCTGCCTTGGAAACATGAAGCATCAAGTAAAAGGCTATTTCTGTCACTAGCTTTTTTTTTTTAAAGATTTTAAAAATTGATTTTGAGGGAGGGGGAAGTTGGGTGCGAGAGAGAAAAACATCAATCAACTGCTTCCTGCACATCCCTACTGGGGATGGAACCAAACCGGCAACCTTTCTGTACACGGGACAGTACCCAACCAACTGAGCCACACTGGCCAGTGTTCTCATGAGCTTTTAATGATTGAGTTATAGTATTCGATTTTTTTCTTATTAGTTGAAAGTAATTTTAATATCTCTTGTATACATGCTCACTTATTAAAAGTGCTGACCGTGATCATTAACTACAACTCTGGACTTCTGGTATCAAGTTTCTTAACTCTGCTGTCTTTTTTCTTACTTTATAAATTGCAGTCAGCCAAAATGGAATAATATTTACATGATGGTTTTTTCACTTCTGCATCATTTATTTTCTAACTTTCATTGTTTTAGCTTAAAAATGCTTCTTGTTCAACCTTTGGTTACTCTTAGAACTTGAATAGTCTTGGTCTATGTCATTCAAATGTCTCCAGTGATAGAGATTATAATCTGGTGTGGTTGTATGGTTAGTAACTTGGCTGACTCTTACATAATGTTACTATGAACATTTTTTTTACTTGTCACCTTGGGCATATATGCATGAGTTTCTTCAAGAGGAATTGCAATTTTACTAGATTCTGCCAATTCATTTATCTGTAGTTTCATCAAGTTGCACTTCACCAGCAGTATATAATTATTCCTGTTAGTGTATATCTTACAGTATTAAATTTCTAACTTACTACCTGGTCTTACTTTATATCCCATTTTTTAAAAATGGATTTTAAAAATTCATTAATTATACACACTTTAAGAACATAAACCTGTTTTTTTGTTTAAGAAATTGTTTTATATGTTTAAATAGTTTAATGAATATGTCCTTTCTAATTTCACATAGGCCAAGAACTCTTCCCAAGCATGGTGCTGCGTGTGGCTTCAGTGATTCTACCAGGTGGAAGGGAGTGTCTTTCTCAGATTCAGTGGAGTCAACTCCTTTACCTTCCATCGAAGATCGCCTGGCTCTTCTTTGCCCTTCTCAGGAGCTTCTGGAATATTATCAAAAGAAGATGTCTGAATGTGAGGCAGAAAATGAGGACCTACTGAGGAAACTGGAGCTGTACAAAGAAGCTTGTGAAGGACAGGTGAAAAAAAGATGATACATTTCCTTTTAGGACTCGACTGAAGTGTTATGACTGAGAGAAGATCTAGAACTGACAGCTTGTATCACAAACAGATATTTTTCAATTCCCTTCTACCTCAGCCTCACTACCTACTCTCTGGGTCCCTCGTTAGACCATAATTCCCAAAACCGCTCCACCTCTAAAATCTTAAACTTTTATGTCTCGTCTCTCTTATATTTCTAGTTCTTTGAGCCCTGAACACCTGACTTTATTATTATCTCCCTGGCTCCTTGACTTTTCAGTCTTCCAAATGTTGCATGTCAGTTTCTAACATCATGTCCTTCTAACCTGAACCCTGTCACACTTCACTTTAGTAATAACTGTTCTGCTTGCACAGGACCCCTTGCTTATTCTTTGGCTCCACAAAACTCTAGTTATAATTGAATCCTAGTCTCCTGGAGCAGGGTTTGTCAACCTTGGCACTATTAACATTTTGGCATTGGTAATTCTTTACCGTGGGTCTATCCTATGAATTGTAGAATGTTTTGTAGCATCCTTGGCCTCTGCTTACTAGATACCAGTAGCACACATACATACACACACACATACCCTCACCACACCCCCAGTTGTGACCATCAAAAGTGCCTGCAGACATTGCCAAATTTCTCCTGGGGCACAGGAAGAATTGCTTCTAGTTAAGAATCACTGTCTTAGAAAAGGTCACAAATTGTTACAAAATAAATTCATGGAAAACAAATTAATCTGTATTCTCAGTCACTATACAGCAATTTTCTTACCTATCCCTAGTCAGTTCCCTCTCCCTCCACACCTGTGCTGTTGTAACTTCTCTACTCTCTTCCAGCCTGTAACCCCATCTTAGCTGTCTATTCTCAGGCAGTCTTGCTTCCTGGTTCACAGAGGAAAAACCAGCTGTCATGAGTGACTCCTTCCCACCTATCCACAATGTTACCTACCTGTGTCCATCTCTCTTCTTTCTTATTACTTCAGGGATAAGATATCTCTGCCTCTTTGAGCTGAATTGATTCAATACTCTCCCTGGCCCACATCCCTTTTTCTTCCTAATAAACCCTTATCATCTCTCTTCTCTTTGTGTTTTATTGTTAACCTTTTGCTTAACATGGGCTTTTTCTCTCCAGTATTGTATATAAACATATGTCTTTCCCAACTTAAAACAACAACAAAAACCATACCATTTTTTTTTTCTAGAAGGATTGGCTTTTGAGCTGGGCCATAATGTGGAGATCTAGAATTTGTAGAATAAATACCATTCTTGAGCTCTAACTATTCTCTTGTGTAGATAGAGCTCTTTCTTTTCTTAGTCTCACTACTTCTGGAATAGTTTGACTTTATCACCCACTCAGGATTCTGTGCTGTAGTTTTGTCTCTCTCCTTACTGTTCCACTAAAACTACTCTTGTGATCTCTAATACCCATTTGCCAAAATGATCTCTTCTCTTTGTGATCTCTGTAGTATCTGTCACTACTGATCTCTGCTTTCTGAAAACTCTTCCTTTTTTGATTTCTGTGTCATTTTTCTTTTTCAGTTTTTCTTTTCCAGTTTTTATCTCAGCTCTCAACTCTCTTAATGGTTCCCTTTCCTTAATCTTAAAAGTCAACGTCTTTGCACTTTCCACCATAAATGGTCTTATTTTTATCCATACCACCTCATATGGAATGATAACATCCAGATAGCTAATATTGAGTCTTTTCTCCTGAACTCCATATTAATGGGTTTATATCTGAACTAATCTCCTTTTCATCTCTATCCACACAATTTTCTTTCTCTCCATTTCTTATCTCTTAACTTTTTTCTTTATTCTGTGTCTTACTCAATGGTATAATTGCCTGTAATTATGTTCAGCCCCCGTATTCAATTATTTAGTAAGTTCTATTGATTCTGCTTCCTAAATATCCCTTAATCCATTAAATCTTCATCATATTGCCTCAACCCTAGTTAAAACTTTCATTATAACTCACCTGCATTAATGCAATATCCTCTTTAACCAGTATTCTAACTTCCAGTCTCATACCTATTCAGTCTGCCTCTCACTTTTCACTTTAGTAACGTTGAAATACTTGTAGTTGTCCAAACATTAAAGACTTTTTGATGGTTCAGTATTTACTGTTCTCTTTCCTGAGAGTACCCATCCTCATCTTGGCTCTAGCAAGCTTCATTTTTCAAGTTTCTACCTTTTTTAAAAAAAAAATTTTATTTATTTATTTTTTAAAATATATTTTATTGATTTTTTACAGAGAGGAAGGGAGAGAGAGAGCTAGAAACATCAATGAGAGACAAACATCGACCAGCTGCCTCCTGCACACCCCTACCGGGGATGTGCCTGCAACCAAGGTAAATGCCCTTGACCGGAATTGAACCTGGGACTCTTCAGTCCGCAGACACTGAGCCAACCAGTTTCAGCTCTACCTTTTTTTAAATCCTCATCAAAGGATATATTTCTTACTGATTTTAATGAGAGAGAGAAAGAGAGAAACACTCATGAGAAACATTGATTTGTTGCATCCCATATGTGCTCTGACTGGGAATTGAACCCACAACCTAGGTAATGTGCCCTGTGTGCTGTGCCCTGACCGGGAATCAAATCTGCAACCTTTTGGTGTATGGAATGATGCCCCAACCAGCTGACCCAGTCAGCCAAGGCCAACTTTCAACTTTTTGATGGTGGTCTCTAACTTTCCAAAAAGGCTTCAGAGATTTTACTCCTTCTGTACTTTCCCCCTCTATCATTTTACCAGGCATATTTCTCCATTAAATATTTTATTTGCATGTCTGTCTCTTCACAAAATTCCTCAGCTCTAGGCAGGAAACATACCATTTCATCTTTGTGTTCCATAATTTCATAATGCTTATGGAATAGAAAGCATTTTTAAAAAATTGTGAATAGAACAGGTAAGTCATCTGGCATTCTGGATTTTATAGTCTGTAAAAGGAAGATATGAAAGCTTTGACATTATATGCAAACATCATACTCACCCTGTAGCTTTTAAACTCAAGTTATTATACAACTTATTACTGTTATTTGAAATCTGTATTGGTGAAAATATTCACATTGTAATATTTCTACAAAAACTCACTTTTCCATATTCAATAAGAGATATTCCTGTGAGGCTCAATCTTTTCAACTACTTTTTTTCCCCCCAGCACAAAATAGAATGGGATTTGCAGCAGAGGGAAGAAGAGATTGCTGAATTGCAGAAAGCTCTAAGTGATATGCAAGTCTGCCTCTTCCAGGAACGGGAACATGTTTTGCGCCTCTACTCAGAAAATGATCGATTGAGAATCAGGTACCAAGTAGGAGAAGGGAAATGTGAGAGTTACATTTCTAAATTAAGATAAGTTTCTCTGTGGTAATCCTGTTAGGTTATATTTCCCAGGAAAAAGACTCTGAGATGGAGATTTGCCTGTAGGACTGAAAGTAGGGAGGCTCTCAAGAATGACATATGTAAAAAAAAAAAAAAAAAAAAGAATGACATATGTGAGGAGACTTGAGCAGGGAAAGAATTTGAACTGTGATACAGTGGTAACCAAGGCTTTAGCCAACCCAATAGGGAGCTCTGAGGCTGGGACAGCTTTTCAAAGGCAAAGGAGTCAGACTTTTGTTTCTTCACAGCAATCATTCATTTCATGTAGCCTGTCACCAGAGAGGAGGTGTAAATTTGAGAGAGGCAGCCCCCTTCAGCCAAAGGCAATTCCTGGAGAAGGACTCAAAAACTGAGGGTTAGGGGTCTTGATCCTAAAGGTGATATCTGAGCAGTGTCCACACATCCATTATAGTACACTTTAAAAAAATAATTTTGTACTTTTCAGTTGCAGTTGATATACAGTATCATTAGTTTTATGTGTACAACCCAATGATTAGACATTTATATAACTTACACAGTGATCACCACAATAAAATATAATAGTACCCACCTGGCACCATACATAATTATTACAATATTATTGACTATAATCCCTATACTGTACATTATATACCATAACTGTTCTGTATCTACCAATGTGTACTTCTTTTTAAAAAAAATATATTTTATTGATTTTTTTTACAGAGAGGAAGGGAGAGAGCTAGAGAGCCAGAAACGATGAAAGAGAAACATCAACCAGCTGCCTCCTGCACACCCCCCACCGGGGATGTGCCCGCAACCAATGTACACGCCCTTGACCGGAATTGAACCTGGGACCTTTCAGTCCGCAGACCGACGCTCTACCACTGAGCCAAACCGGCTTCGGCTCTATGTGTACTTCTTAATCCCTTTGTTTTTCACCCATTCCCCAAGCTCCCTCCCATCTGGCAACCATCAAAATATTTTCTTATCTGTGAGTCTGTTCCTATTCTGCTTCTTTGTTTATTCTTTTGATTCCACATGTAAGTGAAATCATATGGCATTTTTTTTTCTCTGTATGATTTATTTTGCTAAGCATAGTATCCTGTAGGTCCATCCATGTTGCTGCAGATGGCAAAGTTTCATTATTTTTTATGGCTGAGTCATATTCCATTGTATATTGCAACATTTGTTTATCCATTCATCTATGATGGATATTTAGGTTGCTCCCATATCTTGGCTATCACAAATATGCTGCAATGGAACATATGGATGCATATGTCTTTGTTTTTGTTTTGTTTTTAATCTTTATTATTGAGAGAATTACAGATGTCTTCCTTTCCTTCCCTAGGCCTAGTGCCCCCCTCCACCCGTCTGCCACACCCCAAGTCTTCATCACCGTATTGTCTGTGTCCATATGTAATGCATATATACATTTAAGTTATTTGGTTAATCTCTTCGTGCCTCCCTTCCCTCTGAGATTTGTCAGTCTTTTCTATGTTTTCATGCCTCTGGTTATATTTTATTCATCAGTTTATTTTGTTCATTAGATTCATTGTTTATTTTGATTTTTTAAAATTTCTTTATTGATTAAGGTATCACATAATTGTCTTCATCCCTCCCATTCCCATCCCGCACCCCTCCCCACTCATGCCCCTACCCCCCTGTTGTCCTTGACCAACTGGTTAGGCTCATATATTTTGATTTTTAGGTTTAATTTTTTTAAAATACATTTTTATTGATTTCAGAGACGATGGGAGAGGGAGAGAGAGATAGAAACATCAGTGATGAGAGAGAATCATTTATTGACTGCCTCCCACATGCCCCCCACTGGGGATCCAACTTGGGGCCCTTCAGTACACAGACTGACGCTCTATCCACTGAGACAAACCAACTAGGGCTAAATTCAATTTTTTTAAAGATCTGACAGTTTATTACTTTATATTAAAATTTTGATTTAGTTCCAGCCACTTGAAGCCACTTTGCTTGCTTGCTTTCTTTCTTTTTTTTAAATATATTTTTATTGATTTTACATAGAGATGAATTGAGAGGGATAGAGAGTTAGAATGTCGATGAGAGAGAAACATCAACCAGCTGCCTCTTGCACACCCCCCACTGGGGATGTGCCCGCAACCAAGGTACATGCCCTTGATCAGAATTGAACCCGGGACATTTCAGTCCGTAGTCCGATTCTCTATCCACTGAGTCAAACCGGTTTCGGCTCTTTCTTTCTTTTTTTTTTTTTTTTTTTTTTTTAATATATTTTTATTGGTTTCAGAGAGGAAGGGTGAGGAAACGGGAGATAGAGAAACATCAATGATGAGAGAGAATCATTAATTGGCTGCCTCCTGCACAATCCCCTACTGGTGATTGAACCCGCAACCCAGGCATGTGCCCTTGACTGGAATCGAACCTGGGACCCTTCGGTCTACAGACCAATGCTCTCTATCCACTGATCCAAACCAGCCAGGGCTAGATTCAAATTTTGATAGATATGTATTTATTGCCATGTTATTCTATTTTTTATCTCCTCCTCCTCCCCTTCCTCCTCTTCTTTCCCTCTTTCCTCCTCCTCCTTTTTTTTCTTCACTCCCTTCTTGTCCTCCTCTTTCTCCTCCTCCCTTCTTCCTCCTCCCCTCCTTGTTTTTCTCCTTCTCCTCTTCCTTCTCCTCCACCTTTCAACATTTCATGTAATACCCTGTTCCCCGAAAATAAGACAGTGTCTTATATTAATTTTTGCTCCCAAAGATGTGCTAGGTCTTATTTTCAGGGGATGTCTTATTTTTCCATGAAGAAGAATACGATACACATTTATTGTTAAATGAAAATAAAGAAAATTTATTACCTGTATATGGTATGGTAGTACGGTAGTTTTTACTACAAACCAGACAAACTGTGAATCCTACAGTATCAATAATTTACTCATTTATTCAATGACAATCATGTCATCATCTTCTGGAACATCATCATAACAATCCAATTCCTGAATTTCCTGGTGAATTTCTTGTGACTCCATTTCTTTCAGAATCAGTGGACCAAATCTCTCATGTTTAGCCTAGGGGGGGCCTTATTTTTGGGGGGATGCCTTATATTTCACTCAGAAGGAAACCTGTAAGTAGGTCTTATTTTCGGAGGATGTCTTATTTTCAGGGAAATACGGTATTGGTTTGGTGGTGATGAACTTCTTTAGTTTTTTCTTGTCTGTGAAGCTCTTTATCTGACCTTTAATTCCAAATGATAGCTTTGCTGAGTAGAGTAATCTTGGTTGTAGGTCCTTGCTAGTCTTCACTTTGAATAGTGTCCTTGCCACTTCCTTCTGGCTGCAAGGTTTCTGTTGAGAAATCAGCTGACACTCTTATGGGTGCTCCCTTGTAGGTAACTAACTGCTTTTCTCTTGCTGCTTTTAAGATTCTCTCTTTGTCTTTTACCTTTATCATTTAAATTATAATGTGTCTTGGTGTGGGCCTCTGTGGGTTCATCTTGTTTGGGACTCTCTGTGCTTCCTTAACTTGTATATCTATTTCTTTCACCAGGTAAGGGAAGTTTTCTGTCATTATTTCTTCAAATAGGTTTTCAACTTCTTGCTCCCTCTCTTCTCTTTTTGACAGCTCTGTCATGTGAATAGTTTGCTTGAAGTTGTCCCAGTGGCTCCTTAGTCTTCATATTTTTGGATTCTTTTTTCTTTTTGCTGTTCTGATCTTTGATTTGATTCTCGATATCCTCTATTCTACTATTGATTCCTTCTAAGTTATTCTTAATTTCAGTTAGTGTACCCTTCATTTAAAAAAATAAATAAATCTAGCCAAAACCGGTTTGGCTCAGTGGTAGAGTGTCGGTCTGCGGACTGAAAGGTCCCAGGTTCGATTCCGGTCAGGGGCATGTACATTGGTTGCAGGCACATCCCCGGTAGGGGGTGTGCAAGAGGCAGCTGGTCGAAGTTTCTCTCTCATCGACGTTTCTAGCGCGCTCTCTCTCTCCCTTCCTCTCTGTAAAAAATCAATAAAATATATTTTTTAAAAATCTAATGATTTTTTACAGAGAGGAAGAGAGAGGGATAGAGAGTTAGAAATATTGATGAGAGAGAATCATTGATCAGCTGCCTCCTGCACATGTCCTTCTGGGGATGTGCCCGCAACCAAGATACATGCCCCTGACCGGAATCGAACCTGTGTGCAGGCCGACACTCTATCCACTGAGCCAAACCAGTTTCGATAACTAACTTGTCATTTTTTATGTTGATGTTCTCACTAAGTTCTTTGAAGTGCTCACTAAATTCCTTGAAGTTCTCATTAAGTTCCTTGAGCATCCTTATAATCATTGTTTTGAACTCTGTATGTGATAGTTTTCTTGCTTCCATTTCTTTTAATTCTTTTTCTGGAGATTTCTCCTGTTCTTTCATTTTTAAAATGTTTTTTTGTCCCCACATTTTGGCTGCTTCCTGTGTTTGTTTCTATGTATTAGGTAGAGCTGCTATGTCTCTTGGAATTGGTAGAATAGCCTTGTATAGTAGGAGTCCTCTAGGGCCCAGTGGTCTCAGCCTCCCCACCTGAGCTGGGCACTCTAGGTGTGCCCCTATGTTGGCTTTGTGCAAAGTCTTGTTGTAGTTGAGCCTTGATTGGTGTTGGCATCACTGGGAGGAATTGACCCTTAGGCCGATTGACTTTGAGAACCTCGGTCTGGCCTGTGGGGATTGGGCTGAAACTGGCAGTCTGACATGCCCCAAGGGGTCCTGGATTGCGAGAGGGTACCGACCAGGCTGAAGGACCCCACCAGTGCACGAATCTGTGCATCAGGCCTCTAGTCTGATATATACTGTTTTAGGTTGGATTCCGTGGAAAACATACTCTGCAATGTAAATTTACTTGCAGGAGGTTTGTTGGGGAAGGTTTTCAGGAATAACTACTTATGAGGGAATAAGAAAAGTTTGATTGGGCAGAAGTTGAACTGAGGTTTAATTACAGCTGGACTCAGCCAGTGTCACAGGATGTCTCAATATCCTGAATTGAGCCAAGGGGATTGGGCTTTTGTATCCTTCCTTAGCCAGGCACTGGGTGCAGACTATTCTTTAGCTGAGGCAGTTTCCCTTAACTGATGTCAGTTCTGGAGAGAGATACAGCTGTGAGCATCAGCCTGCAGTGCTGCTGGTTAGTCGGGAGAATCTTATATACCAGCTAATATGCAAATTGTCCTCTCAACCAGGAGTTCAGCCAGGGGGCAGGCCAGCTAACCAACCTCTGCCTCCCCTCCTTCCGGCCAGCCGGGCACCTGATCAGGGCAGGCTGGCTAGACCCTACCCATGCATGAATTCATGCACTGGGCCTCTAGTGAACTTACATCAGTTCTGAAAAGGAGTACCACCACTACAATGCTTTTCTATTAATAGAACCAACTAAGAAATTAGTTTCTGGCCCCTTCTCTCTGAATCTCTAAGTACCTGGTGTTTTCAAAGTTATTGCTGAGGTCTAAATAAATCCTATTCAATTTTAGTTTGAGGTTACCATTATTTAAACAAGTAAGTCAGAAGGGAGATCTTTTTAAAAATTTTACTTAATCTGGACATAATGTGTGCTTATTTTTATGAGAATTACAGGGAGCTGGAAGACAAGAAAAAGATTCAGAATCTCCTGGCTCTTGTGGGAACAGACACTGGAGAAGTGACCTATTTTTATAAGGAGCCTCCCAACAAAGTAAGTAATCTTGGTATAGATAGCATGGTAGACATGGCTTTAACAAAATATGGTCTTGGATCCATAATCAGAGATATTCTGGCGCTTGCTAAAGAAGTTAGAAGGATAATTAGTTATCATACTCCCATGTCTACATAAGTTCTCAAAGCATTTTTTATAGTTACAAAACGCTTTATGATTTTTATTCTTTTTCTTCAAATTTTTTGGAAAGTAGCATTATTTACCCATTTCACTACTTGGAAATCTAAAGCACAGAGCAGTAGATATTTTGGATGAGATTTGAAAGGAAAATTGGTTGTTTTGTGGTGGCTATTTTTTAATCCTCACTGGGGATATTTTTTAATTGATTTTTAGAGAGAATGGAAGAGAGGGGAAGAGACAGAGAGAGAAACATCGATATGAGAAAGACACATCCATTGGTTGCCTTTCACATGCACCACTACCAGAGTCAGGGATTGAGCCTACATATGTATATGTCTATATTTCCATTACTTTCCTAAAGGCCTTTGTCAAAGACCACTTTTTAAAAAAATTAAAAAAAAAAAAATATATATATATATATATATATATTTTTTTTTTTTTTTTTTTTTTTTTTTTTTAATTGATATATATTTGAACAGAATTGAACCTGGGACCCTTTAGGCCATAGGTCGATGCTCTATCCACTGAGCCAAACTGGTTAGGGCCAAAGACCACTTTTTAAAAATATATATTTTTTTATTGATTTCAGAGAGGAAGGGAGAGGGAGAGAGAGAGATAGGAACATCAGTGATGAGAGAGAATCATTGATCGGCTAGCTCTTGCACAGCCCCCACCGGGACATGTGCCCTGACCAGGAATCAAACTGTGACCTCCTGTTTCCTAGGTTGATGCTCAACGACCCAGCCACACTAGCCAAGCAAAGACCATTTTTTTAAAAAGCAGATATTACTAAAATTACCCTGAAGGTTTTCTTTTGTTTGTTTTTACTTTATATTACCAACACTGGGTTTTATCTAGTTTGTTACTTTGTCCAGTTCGATCTCATGTGTGACATTCCCATATGAGTATATCAATTTTGATCAATTTAATTTATGAATAGTATTGATCTGTGGCATTAAAGCTCTAAAGTGAAACATCACATATATAGGAAGGCTATTTCTATACTTTTTTTTTTTCTTTTTCAGGTCAGCATTCTCCAAAAGACTATCCGGACTGTAGATATTTGTGAACAGAATGAATCTTCAGCTTTCAAAGCAGGTACCAACCATATTATAAATTCTCACTGGTGCAGAATTCAGAAACACAATGCAAATAATTAGGATTTTTTTCTTACTATACAGAGATAAATGAATGTTTATAATGATGTCTCTTGGTAAGCTTGAAGTTGTTTTTTTTTGTTTGTTTGTTTGTTTTTTAACATTTTCTTTAATATATTTTATTGATTTTTTACAGAGAGGAAGGGAGAGAAATAGAGAGCTATAAATGTCAATGAGAGAGAAACATCGACCAGCTGCCTCTTGCACACCCCCTACCGGGGATGTGCCTGCAACCAATGTACATGCCCTTGACCGGAATCGAACCTGGGACCTTTCAGTCCGCAGACTGATGCTCTACCACTGAGCCAAACCGGCTTCGGCTTGAGGTTGGTTTTTTGTGTTGTTTTTTTTTTGCCCTTCCATGATGTTTTTGTTTAATTAGTTTTATTTATTGATTTTATTTTATTTTATTTTTAAATAATAAAAATTAAGTTTTATTTATTTTACTTTTTTAAAATATATTTTATTGACTTTTTACAAAGAGGAAGAGAGAGAGATAGAGAGTTAGATACATCGATGAGAAACATCGATCAGCTGCCTCTTGCACACCCCCTACTGGGGATGTACCCACAACCAAGGTACATGCCCTTGACTGGAATCGAACCAGGGACCTTTCAGTCTGCAGGCCGACGCTCTATCCACTCAGCCAAACCGGTTTTGGCAAGTTTTATTTGAAAAGGTAAAAATTTATACATCCTTATAAAAGAAGTGGTAACATTTTCACCAATGTAAAACAGAATTCAAATCACAGTTTGGATCTTCAAGATTCAAGTATTGTATCCCATTAAGTAAAAATGTGGTCAGTTTTAATATAGAAATGCCTCCTCTGGATATCCTGTTCTCAATCAGTGCTTTCTTTACCGCCATCATCTCACACAGTAGGATAGATAGCTGTGGTGGCGATTCCACAGTAGTTGTTATGGTCTTTGACCATCTTTATGTATCCGTTTTTGCCCCACACTTCACCCCAGCTGTTCTTGACAATACAATATTAATTGTTCCTTGAGTCTTCTCCTTCAAAGCCATAGCCAACCACCAGAACGCCATGATTTAGATCCACACTGCTGCAGTGCCACTCTTAATAAATGCCATCTTCATAGAACTGGAAGCTAAGATGGCTTGCTTCTATAGCAACAGAGATGGGCCCCACAGTTGCCACTTCCTTCATGAGGGCACTCTCCTGCTCAGGGATGTCCACGAAGCCAGTGACATTGGCCACAGAATCCTCGGGCCTGTATTTGCAGGGTCCATCCTTTGCTTGATATGGTTAGGATTCTTCTGAGCCCAGGCCTTCGTTGGACTTCACATACTGGAAGGTATTATCCACTAGGCCATCATTGCAGCCCTCATTGCCTTGAGCTTGAGAGCAGTCCACAAGGTTCGGCTCACTCAGTGAGATAAGTTTGCCAGTTTTCCGGAACATCTGTCCTTCAAGGGCACCAGTTGCACTAAATGTCCAACAAGAACCACAGTGACCCTGGTTCTTCACGGGGGTTACATAGCCTTCTTCCCTCCAATTCACGGCTGGGGGGATTTCAGCAGTGTAAGGTTCCCGAAACACTTTCCTTCTCTTGTGCTTCTGGTTCTGATGACCATTCATCACCTGTGTGAATTCTTCATTGGTCATGTCACCAAAAGCATTCATTGCTAAGGTGAAGGTCTGTCTCCCTAGGTTGTATTCTTGGTTGTGCAGGTTGATCATTTTCATATTCTTCTCCCTCACTGATCTCCTCCATCCTTCTTCATTCGAGCCATATAGTTTTCTGTGCGTTGCCTTCCACCGGTGCCAGCATGCCTCTAAACTTCCATCAAGTTTTGGAGCAGCTGAAGCTATTCCTAAGTAAAGGGCAATTAAGAAGAATGAAGGATTCATGTTACAACACCTTCAGGGGTGTGGCCAAGCAGGCGCTGTCTGCACACATAGGTCCTGGATCTCCAACCTATTTATTGATTTTAGAAAGAGGGGGGAAGGGAGAGAAATAGAGAAACATTGACCTGTCGTTCCACTTATTTATGCATTCATTGGTTGCTTCTTTTTTTGAATTTAATAAATCTTTATTGCTCAGATTATTACAATTGTTTCTCCCTCTTCTTCCATAGCTCCCTTCCACCAGGTTCCCACCCTACCCTCTGCCCTTACCTCCCCCCGACTATTGTCCTCATCTATAGGTGTACGATATTAGTCCAGCCTTTTCCTGCACCCCCTACACCTCTCTCCCCCTGATAATTATCAATCCACTCCCTTTCTTTGCCCCTGATTCTATTATATTCACGAGTTTATTCTGTTCCTCAGATTTTTAATTCACTTGATTTTTAGATTCACTGTTGTCTATTTGTTTATCATAATTTTTAATCTTTACTTTTTTCTTTTTCCTCTTCTTAAAGAATAATACTGGTTTGGTGGTAATAAACTCATTTAGCTTTTCCTTATCTGTGAAGCTCTTTATCTGACCTTCAATTCTGAATGATAGCTTTTCTGGGTAGAGTAATCTTGGTTGTAGGTTCTTGCTATTCATCACTTTGAATATTTCTTGCCACTCCCATCTGGCCTGTGTAGTTTCTGTTGAAAAATCAGCTGATAATTGTAGGGGTGCTCCCTTATAGGTAACTAACTGTTTTTTCTCTTGCTGCTTGTAAGATTCTCTTTGTCTTTTGCCCTTGGCATTTTAATTATGATGTGTCTTGGTGTGGTCCTCTTTGGAGTCCTTTTGTTTGGGGTTCTGTGCACTTCCTGGACTTGTAAGTCTATTTCTTTCACCTGGTGGGGGAAGTTTTCTGACATTATTTCTTCAAATAGGTTTTCAGTATCTTACTCTCTCTCTTTTTTTGGCATCTCCATAATTTGGATGTTGGTATGCTTGAAGTTGTTACACTATCTTCAACTTCCTGGATTCTATTTTCTTCTTGCTTCTCTAGAGGAGTGTTCTTTGCCTCTCTGTACTCCAAATCTTTGACTTGATTCTTGCGTTTCTCTAGTCTGCTATTGGGTCTCCGTATAATATTTTTTATTTCAGTCACTGTATATTTAATTTCTTGTTGGTCCTTTTTCATATCCTCGAGGGTCTCGCTAAATTTATTGGCCTTTTCTAAGAAATTTTTGAAAAACCTTAAAACCATGGTTTTGAACTCTATATCCAGTCTTTTGTTTTCCTCCATTTCTTTTGTTTGAGATCTCTTTCCTTGTCTCGGCATTTTCGCTGCTTCCCTGAGTTGGTAGGGTGGTTTTGTGTGCTAGGTGTCCTATATGGCCCCAGTTACCTGAGGTAGACACTTTTGGTGCTCCCCTTTGTGTATTGCGTGTACAGCCTTGTTGTACTTAAGTCTTGATTTTTGTTGGTATCACTGGGAGGAATTGACCTCCAGGCCAATTGGATGTGAGTATCAGCTGTGTCTACGCTGAGATACCTTTGGTATTGGAGACAATCTTATAGGATCAGACTTGCAAAATTGCAAAAGCCTCTGCGCTCAGCTTGGATGGGGCGGAGTCTCAGGGCTGAGCCTACAGTCTTGGCTTCCCATCAATCCTGCCCTTGTGTGCACGCCTCAGACCTCTGCCTTCCACAGATCCCCTGAATTTCTGACTGACAGTCCAGATTCCCCCTGTAAGAGCATGGGTGCCCCAGAGGCTCGCCCAGAACTGGGCTGGGTCTCTGTATAATATTTTTAATCCTAGTGCAGTCAGAACTGGAATACAGCGCAATCAGGAGCTTCCAACTCCTTTCACTATGGAGAGGCTGCTGCGGCAACCACCCTGGTCAGATCTCTTTGTTCACACTCACTTGCCACTCTAGACCCTGCCCACTTTGGCTCCCGGCTCCCCCGAGTCTCCCAGTCTCTGAGTCTCCAGGTGCCTTTCTCTACAGTCCAGACTCCATCCATATGAGCCTGGGTCCACAGGGTTTTGGCCGGGGCTGGGGTTCAGTGCAGTCAGAGCTGGGGTTCAGTGCAGTTGGGGGCTTCCTTTCCCCTTCCACCAACCAGGCATTCGGCTGCCTTTTCTCTCTGTGGGTGCATCTCCTTACCTCAGCGCTTCATGGCTCTCCTGATCTGTGAGCCTCTCTCCTTCTTTCTAGTTGTAGATTTCCCACTCAGCCAGCTTTCCTGTCATTTTAGATGATGTCTGTTCTGTCTTTTAGTTGTTTTGAGATTGTTGTGCAAGGCGGCAGTTTATGCGCTTACCTAGGCCGCCATCTTGGTTTTCCTCCCGAATGCTTCTTATATGTGCCCAACTGGGGATTGAACCCACAACCTTGGCATATTGGGCCAACACTGTAGCTGGTTTGGCTCAGTGGATAGAGCATCGGCCTGCAGACTGAAGGGTCCTATTCCAGCCAAGGGCACATGCGCAGATTTCAGATTTGATCCTCAGTATGGGCCTGCAGGAGGTAGCTCATCAGTGATTCTCTCTCATTATTAATGTTTCTATCTCCCTACCCTTCTCCCTTCCTCTCTGAATCAATAAAGATATTTAAATATATCTACAAGTCTACATTAATAAAAGAGTAAGATGCAAATTGACCATACCTTTGCGATGCCCACCAGCCAATCAGGAGTAATTATGCAAATTAATCCAACAAATATGGCGATGATGCAGGCATTCCATACCTCCTTAGCTGCTCCGGCCCTCTGGGCAGCATGAGAATGCAGAAAGGTGGCTCCAGCCAGTGGGAAGGCAGTGCCAGCAGCCAGGGAAGGAATGCCCATTCTTGCATGAATCTTTGTAGATCGGACCTCTAGGGTGTGTGTGTGTGTGTGTGTGTGTGTGTGTGCGCGCGCGCGCGCGCGTGCACATATGGTGACAGGTTGTAAAACAGACTTAGAAAACTTCTGGAAGCACAGAGTATTACTTACCCCTCTAAGCCCCAGTCATCTTATCTCTCTCTTTTAATGGAAATCTTAATTTTCTTTTTTTCACTGAAATACTAGAAGCCCAGTGCACGAATTTGTGCACAGGTGGAATCCAGCCGACCTGCCCCAATTTGGGCCGATTCAGCAGGGCTGGCCAGGGGGAGGAGCTGTGGGTTGTTGGCCAACCTGCCCTTCTCCCAATTGGGGGCAAGTTGCTTGGGTACGGGGCCAGTTGGGGTGAGGGTCTGCAGACAATTGGCTGGCCAGCCCCACCCCAGATCGGGATGGGGTGGCTTATCAGGGTCAGGGTCAGCTGGGGGGAGGGGATGCAGGCAGTTGGCCTGCTGCCTCTGCCCCCTGATTAAACACCCAGTCAAAGGGACAATTTGCATATTAGCCTTTTATTATGTAGGACTAAGGTTCCAGTGCACGAAATTAATGCATGGAGGGTGGTGTCCTTCAGCCTGACATGCAACCTCTCCAATCAAGGACCCCTCAGGGGCAGTCGGACATCCCTCTCACAATCCAGGACCACTGGCTCTAACCACTTGCCTGCCAGATAACCCCTAACACTTCCCTGCCAGCCTGATGGCCCCCAACTGCCCTCCCCTGCTGACCTGATGGTCCTCAACTGCCCTCCCCTACTGGCCTGATCGCCCTCAGCCACCTCTGCCTTGGCCCCCACCACTATGGCTTTGTCTGGAAGGAAGTCGGATGTTCAGAAATTGGTCTAATTAGCATTTTACCCTTTTATTAGTATAGATAATTGAAAATATCAGTTTCTGGTATACAGCATAATGGTTTGGTATTTCTATCTATACTAATAAAAGGGTAATATACAAATTGGTCATGACACCCTCACATTAACAACCAAACAGTAGGTTGCGTGGGGCAACCAGGCCAGCAGAGGGATTAGTGAGGGATGACCAAACCACTGGCCAGCAGGCTGTGTGGGGCAACCAGGCTGGCAGGGGGTTAGCAACTACTGACCAGCAAGCTGTGTGGGGCGACCAGGTCGGCAGGAGAGGAAAGTGAGAGTTGACCAGGCTGGTAGAGGGGGGCAGTGAGGGGTGACCAGGCTGACAGGGGCAGTGCAACCAGGCCAATGGGAGAGGCAGTCGGGGGTGACCAGGCTGGCAAGGGGAGCAGTTGGGGCAACCAGGCTAGCAGGAGAATACTAAGTGGGGGAGGGGGGTGACTAGGCCAGTGGGGGGGGGGGCAATTAAGGGCGATCAGGCTGGCAAGCAGAGATGGTTAGGGGTGATCGGGCTGACTTGGGCCAGTTAGGGGCAATCAGGCAGGCAGGCAGGTGAGCAGTTAAGAGCCAGCAGCCCCGGATTGTGAGAGAGATGTCCAACTGCCGGTTTGGGTCCGATCCCTGGGGTCAGGCCAAAACTGACAGTCAGACATTCCCCAAGGAGTCCTGGATTGGAGAGGGTCCAGGCTGGGCTAGGGGACCTCCCCCTGTGCACAAATTTTGTGCACTGGTCCCTAGTATATATTATAAGATTATTACAACAGTAAGTTTAGTTAACATCCATCATCACATATAGTTACATGTGTTTTTTTTTTTCTTATGGTGAGTACCTTTAAGATTTATTCCCTTAGCATGAGCTTCTTGAATTATACAAGGAGTTAAATTTTGTTCTGTACAATTTTAGTGTTGCTTTTTAAAATATCCTATATTAGAGGCCTGGTGCACAAATTCGCATGGGTGGGGTCCAGCTGGCCCGCCCCAATTGGGGCCTATCAGGCCCAACCAGCAAGGGCACAGGTAGTTGGTTGGCTGGCCCTGCCCCCAATCAGGGTGTTGGGGATGGGGACCCATTCGGGGCCCAGATCAGGCTGGTTGTCTAACACAGTGCATGTCATAGCCACTGGTCATTCTGGTCATTCTGCCATTCCAATTGCTGGGTTTTTATATATATAGATATAGATAATGAAACCCTAATATGCCAATCGACCGAACGGCAGAACTAATGGTGGAACAATTAGTCGCTATGATGCTCACTGACCACCAGGAGCAAATGCTCAACACAGGAGCTGCCCCCTGGTGGTCAGTGTGGTCCCATAGCTGGAGAACCACTCAGGCAGGAGCCAGGCTCATTGCTGGCGAGTGCAGTGGCCGTGGTGGGAGCTTCTCCCACTTCCTCAGCAGCGCTAAGGAGCGGCAAGCAAAGTGGTAAGGAGCGAGCAGGTGGGCAGGTAGGAGCAAAGGGTTCCAGATTGCAGTCGGACATCCCCTGAGGGGTTCCAGATTGCGAGAGGGAACAGGCTGGACTGAGGGTCCTCCCCCCTTGCATGAATTTCATGAATTGATCCTCTAGGATCTATAATAATAAAAAGCATAATACACTAATTAGACTGGACAGCTGAATGACCTTCTGGACGTCCTTCCCAATGAAGCCACAGCAGCAGAGGCTGAGGCAAAGGCAGTTAGGGGAGATCAGTCAGGTAGGTGAGTAATTAGGGGCAATCAGGCAGGCAGGCAGAGGGGTTAGGGACAAGCAGATGAGTGGTTAGGGGCAATCAGGCAGGTAGGAAAGTGGGCAGTTAGGAGCCAGTGGTCCCGGATTGCAAGAGGGTTCAGGCCGGGCTGAGAGGCACACACATGCCATCCCCCTGTGTATGAATTTTGTGCACCTGGCCTCTAATATATATGTATATATTCTTATTGATTTCAGAGAGGAAGGGAGAGGGAGAGAGAGATAGAAACATCAATGATCAGTGAGAATTATTGATTGGCTACCTCCTGCACTCCCCCTATTGAGGATCAAGCTCAGAACCCAGGCAGTGGGGAGAGGGAAGGATAGGTCATTGCTCAACCACTAAGCTACATTAGCTGTGCAGTGTTATTTATTTTAACAATAATTTTGTCTTTTAAAAACTGGGTGATACATCCTAATCAAAATGTTTAGATTTTTTTTTATTCCTTTCCCTTTTTGATTAAGATTTTGCAAAAATAGACACAGCTTTAAAGAAAAATTTAATAGTTTATTTTTCAGAAAGATTGGTTTTATTATCCAGGTGACATTCAAGGAGAGTTCCCTTATAGAGACTCCTATTTGAAAAATTAATCACTAAAGTTATTGTAAGCTTTCACTGTTCTACCTTTCCTTCTCTTTTAGGTAAAGGAAACTTAACTCCTCTGCAAAAATAATGCTGAACTTGAGCAAAAAGAAAAGCTAAATAGAGGTCTTTATTGTATTTGTTTTCTATTTTAGATGCTAAAGTAAGCAAAAGAAAACCAACAATGAGAGAGAAAGAAGAAACTGAGCAGTATCAAAGAGACATACAAACTCTCATCCTACAGGTAAAGAATTTGTTTTGACAGACAGAACAGTTTCTATCCATGAGCTTAGCTTTGCGTACCATGCCTTCACTGCCATGTAAGTTTCTCCTTGCACACATGTTCTATCTAGGCATCATGTGATTAAGAAAATTGAGGTTATTTCTACTTTACAGAAAATAATTATTCTGTATTAACCATTCTAGAGATTTTATTCTGAATCTTCATTTCACTCAGCTTATATGCTAGGCCCTATGGAACAAAACCATCATACAGTAAGAATTCCCTTTATGGTTGTTTGAGGGTTACACAGAGTAGTTGCAGTTGTCTGTGCTAATAGATCAGCCTTTGGGAGGTATATAAATTTATTTGGTGTTTGTGTTTTAAGTCTGAGAAAGTAACAAATCTTCCTCTTACTACCTGGTAATACTCTATCATTTGAAACCATGATTTTTTTCATCTACTCGCACTCAAGTTCCTTTCCCTATCAGGTGGGGAGGGGGGACTATTTATTTAAATGATAATTTCTGTCTTTGGCCAGTAATGTATCTCCATTTGTTGTCAGACAGCCAGACTCAGACTCAGAGAAGGAAGGAAATTACATTATACTTATTTTGGTTCACTTTTTAGATGAAAAAAAAGAAAAAAGAAAATAATCATTCTGTTTTTGTGCAGCTAGGAAGTATTTAAAAGGAGACAATGCTAAAAGTTAAAAGGGGAGATAGTGAAGAGGTGAGAATCTTGGATATGGGAAACTGGGCTTTCATGCTTTCTCTCTGTGACGCAGATGCTTTGCTGTGTGAACAGTCTGCTCTTGCGTAGCCTAACCACATTTACAAGTCACTAAATAAGGAGTGCCTGTTGAGGTTTTTCTTCTATTTGTTTTGCTGCTCTGTTTTTGTTTTGTTTTTTAATTTGTGGATTGTTGTTTTTGTGTGAATCCTCACTGGAAGATATTTTTTCCATTGATTTTTTTTTTTTTTTAGAGAGTGGAGGGAGTGAGGGAGGAGAAGAGAGCGAAAAACATCAATGTGAGAGAGACATATCTATTGGTTGCCTTCTGCACACACCCTGACCAGGTCAGAGATGGAACCTGCAACCCAGGTATGTGCCCTTGACCAGGAATTGAACTTGAGACCCTTTAGTGTATGGGCAAACACTCTAACCACTGACCAACACCTGCGATAGTTGCTTGGAGAGGCAGGGTTGTTTGTTTTTTAAATTTTTCTGGAGACAGGCTCATTTTTAGAGACAAGGATTAAAAAGAGACAGGGAAGAGTAGATACCTTGCCCTAGCTGGTTTGGCTCAATGGGTAGAGTGTTGACCTAGGGACTGAGGAATCCCAGTTCAATTCTGGTCAAGGGCACATGCCTGGGTTACGGGCTTGATCCCTAGTAGGGGGCGTGCAAGAGGCAGCCAGTCAATGATTCTCAGCATTGATGCTTCTCTTTCCCTCTCCCTTCCTCTCTAAAATCAATAAAATATATTTAAAAAAAAGAGTGGATATCTCTCCCTTTCTGGCCTGTCTAGGTGGAAGCCCTGCAGGCTCAGCTGGAAGAACAGACCAAGCTTTCTAGAGAGCAAGTTGAAGGGCTCATGGAGGATAGACGGATCCGCATTGAGGAAATACAAGTTCATCACCAAAGAAATCAGGACAAAATCAAAGAGCTTACCAAAAAGTGAGTGTTCAAGAAAGCTTTACCCAACAGTTTTAAAAATTTTTCTGAGCTTAAAAGTTAACAGTCTCATACTTTTAGCAGCACAGTGTCATAGAACTGACAGGGACCTTGAGAAAGTTGTCCTTATCAGACACCCCTGCGCCTCAGTAGGTAGGGATCCAGGCTTTTCTAGGGATGCTATTCATTCTTCTCTTGAAGAGCTGGTGGGTATTTCACATGCTTAATTTAACCCATTTTAGTACTTCAGCTTGATCTTAGTGATTAAGAACTGTACTTTATCCACTGATATGTTATCTGACAAAATAGTAGAGCCCTTTTATTTGTCCCTTCATGAATCTGGGAAAATGTGATTTTACATTGTCTCTGTACTTACTGCTTTTTTTTTTTTTTTTTAATATATTTTATTGATTTTTTACAGAGAGGAAGAGAGAGAGATAGTTAGAAACATCAATGAGAGAATCATCGATCAGCTGCCTCTTGCACACCCCCTACTGGGAATGTGCCCAAACCGAGGTACATGCCCTTGACCGGAATCGAACCTGGGACCCTTGAGTCCGCAGGCCAATGCTCTATCCACTGAGCAAAACCGGTTTCGGCTTTTTTTTATTTTTATTCTTAAGCAGTTTTCTAATTTTATGTATTATTATTATTATTATTATTATTATTATTTTTAATTGATTATGGTGTCACATAATTGTCCTTATTCCCCCATTCCCATCCCAAACCCCTCCCTAGATATGCTCCCCTTAACCCCCGTTGTCCATGGCCACTGGCTAGGCCCATATGTATGCACACAGTCCTTTGGTTGATTTCTTCCCCTTACCCCCATCCTCCCTTACTTTCCCTCTGAGGTTTGAGAGTCTGATCGCTGCTTCTCTTTCTCTGGGTCAGTTTGTGTTGTTCATTATTTCCTCTAGATGTGTGAGATCATGTGATCAAAGAAATACCCTTGTAAGAACCGAAACTGCAACAAGCTGCTTTTGTTTCTTGCCTGCCTTTCCTCACCTTTCTGCAGTGTGATTTCATTCCCATCCTTTTCTAAACATACCCTTTCTAGGGTCATCACTGACTTCTTAATTTCTCTGACCAGTTCTCTCTTTTTTTTTTTTTTTAAGTAATTTTATTTTTAAAATATTTTTTTTTTTTAAATCAATCTTTATTGTTCATATTATTACAAAGGTTCCTCATTTCTTCCCCCCGCCACCAGGTTCCCACCCCACCCTCCGTCCCCCCCCCCCCCATCCCCCATTGTCCTCATCCATAGGTGCAGTTTATGTTCAGTCTCTTCTTCCCTCAATTTCCCCAATAGTAAATCCCTTTTCAGATAGTAAATCAGTTACTTAGCATTTTCTCATATCAATAATTCCTCCACATGCCCAATGATACACTTCACACAAAAGACATTTCCCACTAGGTCAACCAGCCTCATCCAGGCCCCACCCAAGGCACTCACAGATCAACACCCCAGTCCTAAACTAACTCAACACATCCAGATCTAAGCCTTCATCACTTGATTCAGCAGACCCTCAAGTTCCCACGAAAGTTTCCAGCCATGTCTGAGAAGCAGCCGTGGGGCAGGGGCCAGCAAGGAGCGAGCTGTTCTGGGCCTGGCTGCTCAGGGCCTGGCCTCTGTTGCTCTGGTTCGTTCCACAACCAGCTGCTCCGGGTCTGGTCACTGCCGCTCCCGACCTAGTTGCTCTGGACTTGGCTGCTGCTGCTCCGGGCCTGGCTGCTCCCAGCCTGGCCGCCGCTGCTCCGGGCCTGGCCGCACCAGCCCCGCCTGCTCCCCCGGGCCTGGCCGCTCCCAGCCTGGCAGCCGCTGCTCCGGGCCTGGCCGCACCAGCCCCGCCTGCTCCCCCGGGCCTGGCCGCTCCCAGCCTGGCAGCCGCTGCTCCGGGCCTGGCCGCACCAGCCCCGCCTGCTCCCCCGGGCCTGGCCGCTCCCAGCCTGGCAGCCGCTGCTCCGGGCCTGGCCGCACCAGCCCCGCCTGCTCCCCCGGGCCTGGCCGCTCCCAGCCTGGCAGCCGCTGCTCCGGGCCTGGCCGCACCCGACCCGCCTGCTCCCCCGGGCCTGGCCGCTCCCAGCCTGGCAGCCGCTGCTCCGGGCCTGGCCGCATCAGCCCCGCCTGCTCCCCCGGGCCTGGCCGCTCCCAGCCTGGCAGCCGCTGCTCCGGGCCTGGCCGCACCCGACCCGCCTGCTCCCCCGGGCCTGGCCGCTCCCAGCCTGGCAGCCGCTGCTCCGGGCCTGGCCGAACCAGCTCCGCCTGCTCCCCCGGGCCTGGCCGCTCCCAGCCTGGCAGCCGCTGCTCCGGGCCTGGCCGCACCCGACCCGGCTGCTCCCCCGGGCCTGGCCGCTCCCAGCCTGGCAGCCGCTGCTCCGGGCCTGGCCGCACCCGACCCGGCTGCTCCCCCGGGCCTGGCCGCTCCCAGCCTGGCAGCCGCTGCTCCGGGCCTGGCCGCACCCGACCCGGCTGCTCCCCCGGGCCTGGCCGCTCCCAGCCTGGCAGCCGCTGCTCCGGGCCTGGCCGCACCAGCCCCGGCTGCTCCCCCGGGCCTGGCCGCTCCCAGCCTGGCAGCCGCTGCTCCGGGCCTGGCCGCACCCGACCCGGCTGCTCCCCCAGGCCTGGCCGCTCCCAGCCTGGGAGCCGCTGCTCCGGGCCTGGCCGCACCCGACCCGGCTGCTCCCCCGGGCCTGGCCGCTCCCAGCCTGGCAGCCGCTGCTCCGGGCCTGGCCGCACCCAGCCCGCCTGCTCCCCCGGGCCTGGCCGCTCCCAGCCTGGCAGCCGCTGCTCCGGGCCTGGCCGCACCAGCCCCGCCTGCTCCCCCGGGCCTGGCCGCTCCCAGCCTGGCAGCCGCTGCTCCGGGCCTGGCCGCACCCGACCCGACTGCTCCCCCGGGCCTGGCCGCTCCCAGCCTGGCAGCTGCTGCTCCGGGCCTGGCCGCACCTGACCCGGCTGCTCTGGGCCCGGCTGCCCCGGGCCCGGCCGCTCCGAGCCTGGCCATTCCCGACCTGGATGCTCTGGGCTTGGCTACTGCTGTTCTGGGTCTGGCTGCTCCCACCCCGGCTGCTCTGGGCCCGGCTTCTTTGGGCCCGGCCACTCCGGGTCTGGGTGTTCCTGGACTGGCCACCCTGGGCTTGGCCGCCTCCGCCTCATGCCTGGCTGCCACTGCCCCAGGTCTGGCTACTCCAGTGCTGGCTGTTGATGCTCTGGTTCTGGCTGCTGTTGTTCTGGGGCCTGGCCGTTGCTGCTCCGGGTCTGGCTGCCACTGCCTGTGCCTGGCCACTCTAGGCCTGGCCGTCGCTGTTCCAACATTCTGTCCTTTTTTTTTCTTTTTAAAACGCATTTATGTTGCAATGTTGGCTGGTGAGTTGAGTTCTGACTTAGTCTTTGATTTTTCAAGATCTTCTTTGTATTCTTTCTTAAGTAATTTTACCATTTTTTGCTCTCACTTGATTTCTTCACATTGAGAACTTCTTTGGTTTCTTCCTCCTTGTCCTGGGAGCTCAGCAGGTTGGCCTGTGGCACCCCTTTGTTCTCCGCGGGCTCCTGTGCTGCTTCAGCCTGTTGCCGGGACGGTGCCGCCCAGGAAGCAGCCCCCGGCCTTGGCTCCATTGCCCGAGCTCAGTGGTCAAAGGCTCAGGGGCACCCACGCCCCCAGGGGCTCCGTGGCCCGCCTCCTTGCTGGTGCCCGGTTGGCTGGAGTCCGGCAGGGGCTTCCGCTCCCCTCCGCGTTCCCCCAGCCTAGAGCTTTTTTTTTCTCTTTCCCGCTAGGGAAGTCCAGCATCAGTGTCAACAGTCTGTCCTCTGCGCGCAGTTTGCGCGAGTCCCACAGACTGTCCTCTGCGCGCAGTTTGCGCGAGTCCCACAGACTGTCCTCTGCGCGCAGTTTGCGAGAGTCCCGGGGGCCCGGCCTTTCGCCGCTCTCCCCGGACTCCACCTCACAGCCCCGTCTCCCTCTGCCTGAGCCTGGGTCCCCAGGGATTGGCCCAGAACTGGGGTTCGGAGCAGTCCGGACTGAGGCTCAGCGCCGCCGGAGGCCTTGTTTCTTCCAGCTAGGGTAACCCAGCATCAGAGTCAACATTCAGTCCTCTGCGCGCATTGCGCGCGACTCCCGGGGCCCTGCCTTTTGCCGTTTTTCCGCCTCACGGCCCTGTCTCCTCCCGCCGGAGCCTGGGTCCCCAGGGTCTGGCCCATAACTGGGGCTCAGCGCTGCCGGTTCGGGGGGGCTCAGCGCTGCCGGTTCGGGGGTTCAGCCCAGGCTGGGGGTTTTATTTCCTTCCTGCTAGGGAAGGAAAGGCGGCTCCCTGCCCTCTCCTCCTCTCCGGCTGCGACCTCTCCGTGCGCGCGTGCGGGCAGGCAGGCGCGCGCAGCATGTCTCCGTACCTTAGGCTTTTTTTCAGTTCCTCTGATTTTCTTTCTGGTTTTCTCTTTCCTTCTTGTTGTAGAAATTTCAGTCAGTCGACTACCTGTAGCTCTGGGCAATGTCCACTCTACATTTTAGTTGTATTCCATTGAATTTGTTGTGTGCTGCCGCGGCTAGATGTCTACCCGAGCAGCCATCTTGGATCCTACCCTTTTTAAAATATTTTTATTGCTTTCAGAGAGGAAGGGAAAGGGAGAAAGAGATAGAAACATCATTGATGAGAATCATTGATTGGCTGCCTTCTGCATGCCCCCTGCTGGGGATTGAGCCTGCAACCTGAGCATTTGCCCTTGACCAGAATTGAACCTGTACCCTTCAGTCCACAGGCTGATACTCTATCCACTGATCCAAACCGGCTAGGGCTGACCAGTTATCTCTTTACAATCCTCGTTGTAATTAGTATCTTTTTGCATATTTGGCACCTTCGATAACTATGTCTTTGAAATTAATCTTTTTTGATATCTGTAACACCTGTGTTTTTTTTTTTTTTTTGGTTCTTTTAACCTATCTAATCCTCTTCAGCATTTATTTATTTATTTTTTGGTCTGGTTGCAGTGGCCTGATCTGTGCTCTAAA